ATAATATTGATATTTAAATTATAGATTTAAATTATATTAATATGTTCTTATATAAATAATTTAAATTATTCTAATATTATTTAAATATTTTTATTATATAAATTTTTTAAATTAAATTAATTTATTCTTAATTATATTGGTTTATAGTTTATAATATAATAAAATTATAATATCATAAGAATTTAGGTATAATTACCCTTTTATCCTAAGCCAATGGTTGAAATCCCATCTATAAATAAAAACTGAGCACTACCTATCACCCATTTAAGAAACTTGCCCATTGATTATGTCAATCAATTCTTTAGATTCTCAAGTTAGTTTCTTTTACCCAATTCTTGTATCTGTTACGTTTTTCTTTTAATTTATTCTTTTGTTAGATTATATTTTGTGATGAATTTTTCTGGGTTTTTTAAAATTTGATTTATATTCTGATTACAGATTAGGGATTTTTTTTACCAAAATCTAATAAATTGTTGACATTGATTTTTCTTTTCTGATTACACTTAGTGTTGTTTTGAACCCGTATTTCATTTGCAAAGGTTTCTCAGTTTGCATGTGACCAATTCCCTTTCATTTATGCCTTGTTTGGTTTCTCTTTTGTTTCATTTCTATGTTTGCTTAGTAAGAAAAAATACGAAAAATAAAATTTAGGACATTGTATTATTTGTTTGTAAAATAGTTTCTATGTACTTCCATTTTCATTGTTTTCACATGTTGATGCCTTTGGTCTAGTGATTCAATTTGCTTTCTTCAGTAACTCTGCCTTTTTTATTCAAATTATTTTTTAATGTGACAATCGATGTGTTATTTTTTTATTGCATGAATATGTTTAATAGGCTTTCAATTCAGGTTTATCTTCATAATTTCTCATATTTGTTCCTTTTAATTTTGGTTTTTTTTTACTTAAATCTTTGAAACGTTTCAAATATGGATTATATTTACTTTATACACAAGGTTGTTTACCTGATATTGATACAGCTTCAAGGTTTTACTATGAAAAAATGGTGTATCCATGGAAGACATGTGAAACTATCTGGTGTTCTCATGGACTAACCAAGGGTCACTGGTTTACCTTAACTGTCTGTCCAGTTTATGTTTAAATCTACAAAGGTAACTATCCTTGAATCCAGGAACATAGGTTTAGCCTTAAAAATTATCTTTCTTTTTTGTTTGAAACTTGGAATAAATAAGCAAATGAAGTAGTGGCAATTTTTATGAATATGGATGATTTGTTTACAGATGGAGATACTATTTTGCTCAACGGTAGTTGATATTCTTTCTTACTTGAGCCAATGGTTCTAACTAGAAAGATCTTTAAGGCATGGAATTCTTGTTCTCAAGTAAGCAACAATACCCTTTTTTTATTATATTGATCGATTCTTTCTTGCACCCCTACCCTCCTGCATTGCCAAGGGTGGGGCTGCATGAATATATCTGACATTGAAGATTTAATGCAGAAATCCAAAGGTGAGGAGACTGGCGAGCACACTATAGCAATGCTTAAGGCAGAGAAAGAAGACTAGAATCACCACTTCACAATGAGAAATGGTTGTTTGTCCAGCTAAAGCACGAACTAGCATATGCAGAGGCTTAACGCAGACATGTACAAGGTATAATTTTATTAATTTATCTTAATTTAAATTATTTGTATAATTTATAAATATAATATAATATTTAAACTATAGATTATAAATATTATAAGAATATACTAATTTAAATTATATCAAGGGTTTGGTGATCAGTTTTATTCACTCCTTTTGACCATCACTGTTGAAAGTAAAATCATTCATGGTTAAGTTTATAACTCCTATTGTGAAGGTATTACTGGCGAGAATTTACATGTTCAATATTTGCAGCAAGCTTTCTTGTTGTTTATGCTTTTTTTTTCCTCACAGGCTTCTCACATGGTCAACAATATGAAGGAAGAGATACCATATTATTCCATGCCGGAGTACCATTTTCTGAAGGAAAGTTTGGGTGGTAATACAAAGGGCTAGATCATTAAGTACCGTTTTTTATTTCTATCCCTTTATTTATTTATTTATCTGCATATATCAAATGAATATGTTTTTGCTTCATATATTAGACAAAGAAATGAAAAACAAGATGCTTTGTTTCTATCCTATCTTGATCCTTGATATGTGTATATTTAGAGAAAATATATAAAGACTATGAGGTTAGAAATGCATGTGTTTACATATTTCATCTATCTTGTTTTTTTCTTTTCTCAATCTTGTACAGGTGTGTGCCTATGAAAGCATTCAAGCGGTATGTATCGACTTAAACATTTAGGAATCACACAACTAACAACTCTAACCAGTGCTACGAGTCAACTCTTGCTACTGCATCAAACATTGAATTGGAGCTGCAGATAACTCCTTGAATCTAAGTGGCAATTTTGTTGCATGTACAAGCCAGGTAAAATGTTACTTCTACTAGTAAGGAAGTACTAATGTTTTTGCGTTTCAAATAAGCTATAAATCAACAAAATCACATATTTTGAAGCTGACATTTCCAATCATATTCTATAAAATTATATTATAAATTCTTAAATTAAATTAATTTAGATTATTCTAATTATTTAAAATATTTTTATAAAGCATTTTTCGTACATTGCTTATAGTGTTTTGATTTGTTTCCCTTATTGAATGGTTTTCAAACTTTGATTTATTAATTTATTCTTAAATGAAATTAAATGATATATAATTTATCAAAATTATAATATTAATATTAATATTGAAACTATAAATTATAAACTATAAATTATTATATATTTGTTTTTTGATGATTAAAATTGTTTGTGCTTGAAATACTGGCGTTGAGGGCTTAATATATGGGCTTTGTTATCAGTCTTAATGTACTTTTAGATTGAAATCTTAATTAATGGCATGCAATTGCTTGTTCTTTTGAGATTTTTCATAGTTCCTATGCAGTTTTTGCCCAATTCGTAAAACTTGATTGTTTGTGTAAATTTCGTTAGAGGAGAAAAGTTTCTAGGTAGTTGAGATTTGATCGACTAATGATATGTAATATGAAAGCTGACTGTTACACTTTTTTTCAGGATGGTTATAATTCGGGCAAGTCAAAGCAAAATACTGTTGATTTTACTGTTTGTGAGTTCCTAACCTTTTCTTTGTAAGATTAAGAACTACTTTTAAAGTATGATGTTATGCTAGTACCATGGTGGCATAATCACTGTCGATTTGATTCATTTTGAACTGTTAAGATTGTCCTTGTCGGATAATACTCTTATGGATGTAAATCAATAATAAGTTGCCTTGGTTTGCTAATTTCCTCTATGTGTTTGATAACGATTTCTTTGATTTTTATAGATGCAAAATCTTCTTCAACAAATGGTGAGTTATAATTGGACCCTTTTTTGTTATATTTTTTATTTGTGTTGACAGAATTTTGTTTGCAGGAATCTAAGTTTCAAACATGTATGGTTCTATTATCACCAGAAATATCCTTTCAAATGTTCTTTCATAAGAAAAACTTTTGTCAACAATGTCTGATTAAGTAAATAGTTTATCGTAAATGTTAGTATCATTTAACGATATTTCTAGAAACCTATAAATGGAGACGATCTATAGCCGAAAATGATGTCTTTTTCTTCTATAATCCTATGGACGTAATGGACGTCAGGTATAACTAGAATGTACAAAACACCCCCTCACCGCAAGTAGGCGACGAGGGTCAAAGCTCAGCTTTGATCCACCACCGGGATACGTTACATACTTACTTCTTACTAAATAATTTCTCTTTCCTGTTGAGCTTCTAGTTCTATTGTTATATAAATAAATTGAATTGTGTAAATTAGTCTTTAGTTTAGTTATACATTTGAGACACTCTTTTCCTTCTTTCTATGTTTATTGAGATACCTTCTTGTATTTCAATGGATATGAAGTGGGTTTTAATGAGGCATCCCTTTCTTATTGAAAAAAGTTTAGTTATGCATTTGCATGAAATCATAGACTATATTGACTAAGATTCTTTCTGAGATAGTGATGTGAACCTATATCTAATAGTTGCATTGATGGCCAAATTTGAAGTTCGAAACTTTCTTATGTTTCAATGGTTTAGCATTATTTTTAAGTGAAAATAGTTATGCATTACTGTCAAGTATGGACAGTAAATGTAGTTCATTGCCTAACCCTGGCAAGGAGAACACTCGAGATTCGAAATCTGTATTCAATATCAATTCCATTTAAGCTTAATTGAAAATCTATGGTTGAACTTGAAATCCTCTGATACAAAACACATACTTTGAGTATGTCTTGAATGCTTCTGTTTTATATATCTGCCATTGAAGATTTAATGTGTTCAGATTCACATTTTCTGTATCGTTTGGTTTATTTATTTCACTTAAGTATTGAGTGCATGCAGAAATCCAAAGGTGAGGAGACTGACGAACACACTCTAGCAATGCTCAAGGCAGAGAAAGAAGAACTAGAATCACCCCTCCACAATGAGAAATTGTTGTCTGTCCAGTTAAAGCAAAAACTAGCATTTGTAGCAGAGGCTTAAAACTCAAACCTGCACAAGGTATAGCTTTTTCAGATGTATTATGATGGGCCACATAGTTCTTCGACTGTTTTAATTGTATAAGTTTGGAAAAGTAGCTTAGAAAATTTACTTACTAAATTCCTTTTGCATCTTAGGAGCTCCAATCCGTACGCAGTCAACTTGTCTTGAGCAGTGAAGATGTTTCAAATTAGAGATATACTTGAAACAAGGGAACAATGGTACGTTGCTTATAATGATTTGATTTGTTTACCTTACTGATTGGTTTTCAAACTCTGATTTATTAATTTATTCTTAAATAAAAATATTTATATAATTTATTAATATAATAATAATATTTAAATTATAAATTATAAAGTATCATAAGAATATTAATTTAAATTATATTAATATATTCTTAAATGAAATTAATTTAAATTATCATTGTTTGATTTGGATATAATTATCATTTTTTGATTTGGATAATATATTCTTAAATTAAATTATATAATTCAAACTCGGATTATTAATGTTAGATTTGGATAATGATTATCATTGTTTGATTCAGATTATGATGTGAATTGTGACTTTATAGATTTTAAAGACACGATGTGTTAGATGATGTGAATTAAAATGTGATTTGTATAATGTTTGATTCAATGTGTCTCTCTGTACGGTGCAATATTGTTTTTGTTAGTTATCTGATTGATTGACATTTTCTTTGTTTATTGTGAGCATAGTTGTTTTGAGATTATTGATTGTATGGTATTTTGTTTGGAAAATGTCTTGTGAAATGTTGATATATCGAACTTAGAAATTAGGCAATGCATTGGATTATTTATATATATTATATTCTTACATTCGGATAAAATTAGAATTCTGATTATATATGTTGTCAAGTTATATAAGGATGTCACTTTGGATTAAGTGGCCTCAGCCTTTGTGGCAGACCCAACTTCGGATGATTTGTAAGGTGTAAGGGTGCATGATTATTTGCATAACACTCGAACAATGATTATTATTGCTTGTTTTAGATTATTATTATTTGTTGTTTGAAAAGTGTTATGTGAAATATGTTAAGATATATCAGATTTAGAATTTATGCGATGCATTTAGATTATTTGTATATGTAATATTTTACATTTGGATTAGATCAAAATTCGAATGAATATTTTATCATGTTATATTGGGTTTGGATTGATAGGGGAAGTTTAGTGTATTCACTTGATGCGTTGAATGTCACTTCGAATTAAGTGGCCTTTGTCTTTGTGGCGGACCCTATTTCGGGTGGTGTGTTATAGTTAGTGGTTCTATGGAACATACGTTTCGGACGTTGTGAAAGGTGTATGGGTGCATTATCATTTACATAATATACAAATTGTGATTATCATTGTTTGATTCGATCTATGATGTGAATTGTGACTTTATGCACTTTAAAGACATCGTGTGAATCTTTTTGTCAAGGTGTGTCACTATAGGATGTTATACTTTGTTTGTGAGGTTTCTGATTGACTTACATTTTCACTGTTTATTACGATCATGATTGTTTTGCGATTATTTGTTGTTTGGTATTTTGTTCGAAAAATGCTACGTGAAATAATTGATATATTAGACTTAGAATTTATGTGATGTATTTGGATTATTTGTATAGGTAATATGCTTACACTCAGATGAAATTTGTTATAATGTTTTATTGGGTTGAGATTGATAGGGGAAGTTTCGTGTATTTATTCGATGGGGTGAAATTCACTTCGAATTCAGGGGTTTATGCTTTTGTAGTGAATCCTACTTCGGATGGTCTATTGGAGTTCGAGTGGTTCTGAAAACTTACTCTTCGAACGATGCGTAAGTCGTATGGGTGCATGATCATTGCATAATATTAGGACTGATTAATGTTTGATTTGGATTATGATTATTATTGGTTGATATGATTTTGATATGAATTTTGATTTGTGATATTGTGCAAATATTTTCTCACGGTGTATCTCTCTAGGGTGTTGTATTTTGTTTCTGAGTTATGTAATTGACTGACATTTTTTTTGTTTATTATAAGCATGACTTTTTTTTTTGTTTGGAAAATGTTATGTGAAATATTTTTATATTTCAGACATAGAATTTATGCGGTGCATTTGTATTATTTGTATATGTAATATTCTTCCATTTAGATGAAAAATGTTATCAATTTATATTGGGTTGGGGTTGATACAGAAGTTTTAGTGTATTCACTCTATAGGGTGAATGTAACTTCATATTCAGGGGCATATGCCTTTTGGGGGACCACACTTCGGATAGTGTGTTATAATTAGAGTGGTTCTCGGACTTTACTCTTCGAACAATAAGTTGTATGTGTGCATGATCGTGCATAGTATTCAGATTCTGATTATTAATGTTTAATTTGGAATATGTTTTTTATTGTTGTTTCGGGATATGATGTGAATTGTGATTTTACACTTTAAAGATTGAGAATTGTTGGTTGCTGCTAGAATATTTTGTCA